CAACAGGAGAAAAACTTATTTAACTGTGCCTCTCTGAAGGGGGAGTGAATACATACAAAACAGCATACATGCTAGTTTTCCCCTCAGTTTCTGTAACTTACTTTTACTTAATCTATGAACACATAAGTGTCTCAAAAGTTTTCAAAGAATCATTTATTATCTTTTTAAACCTGTATTTAGCCCTTAAGCATTATAGTTTGTACAATGAGTAGAAAGAAAAGCACATACCCAAATATAACTGCATTCCACTGCATTATGTTATTCTCAGATGGTGCACCACTGACACCCACAGGAGGGTCTTCTTGCAATCTAAGAATTAAAAAAAATAGTGGTAAGATACTTGTTAAAGTCACACACACACACAATCTGGTAATAGTTAGAAAGACATACGCGCGTGTGCACGTCTAGAGTTTGCACTGATCTGCTGAATTCTCTAATCCTAAATGAACATGGAATGCAGAGTTTAAAGTTATATGTACATTAAATGTTCCAAAGACAGAAGCAGATTTTCTGTTCAAATGTTTTGTTACAATAAGACAGACCAACAGAAAAAAAAGAAAGCATAGCATGCATTTCTGCATGTGTTTCTCCATCAAATAAGAGCAGTTATGAAACACCTTGTACACCTGGGTTTTACATTCTGTACGTCAAATGATGAAATAATGAACATTCAGAACCACTCCTCCTGGCTGCAGCAGTGAAAACAAAATGATTTATAACCACAAATTGACACACTGAAACTGCAACTATTGCGGAAACCAACCAATACTATCTATAGTATGCACATACTGGAAGCTACAAGAACGTAGACAAGATGGTGCGTGGGGTCTGGCTAAATTCTGTACATTCAAAATCAAAACAATTTTGGCCAGCAGGCCAATTGCTCTAAGAGGTAAACAGAAACATCACTGTACTGTTTTCTTCATTCCTTCTTAGCCTGAAAACACTGTGCTTTAAAGGAGTCATAGAAGCATCTTAACTTATTTAGACACACACACACCCACGTACGTTCTGGATTAGTAAGAATGCATCTATTTCCCAGTGGAAAACATGGTACCAAAGAAGTATTGTATATGAAGTGGGAGTTTAGAGACCAAGACCTTTGCCCTAGGACTGTATAAATCCCTGGATTAATACAGATGTTGTACTACCCTGTTGGTACTATGCCTTCTCTAACATACTTGCATACAACCTGAAATCTGAAGCACTTCCAAAACAAACCAAACAGCCAAACTTGCCTCACCATAGCACTAAGAAATGTACTGTATTTAAGGAAACCCAAGCACTCAGGGGATAGGCCAAGAAACGGATTTTGATTTGATATTCTGTTGTACATCAGAAGTCAGGATAAATCCCCAATTGGTTCCCTCACCACCACTTCAGGTCCACAAAAGAGATCATGTTTTAGAATGACATATTAGCAAGGATGCTGACCATCAAGCACCAATATTGCCTTGCTAAGGCAAACTAGCAGCAGGGAGTTCTCTGCCCGAGATTCACAGCATCCTTCCCAACCTGTATTTAAGCATCCTTGTTTTCTGACCTTTCACAATTTACACAGTTCAAGATCAACAGATCAGATACCGACCACTTTGGGGAACAGTTTCTTCCTACCGGAAAAACCAGATTGCCTGCCAGTATCAAAGCCTAAGCAGCAAACTTAAGTGCTGTTCTGAGATAGCTTTGGTTCTTAAATCAGGACAAAGCTCCCCCCATACTACACTGTGGGAACATCTTTAAACTACAGAGAATTTATGGCCTAAACTGGAAGCTTAACTTGCCTGAACAGAGCCTAGAGATATTTAAGAGCTAGCGATAATGTGGTATTTATAGCATCCGTATTCCTTTTCTAAGAGCTGTAATTAGTATTTCTCTAATTTTATTCAAAGGAACTAAAGAATGGTCAGCCTTCCAATAATCTGTCAAGTTCTTCTCTCATCACCACCCCACAACCACAATAAACACAGCAGAGTTCACAGCAAAACATGCAACCTGAATGCTGTTACTTTTAGACTGAAGTAATTGTTAGTAACAAACTAAACGCATTTCCTTTCCCCCTAATGTTAAGGGACTGACATTTTAAAAGAAACATGAGCTCAGCCTGGAGGTACAAGATGGTTAGGTTAGATAAATGCACACTCATTCCATGCTTCAGTGCATCTATTTAGAGTATTTATTTACTTACTTATCCCCCCAACCTCTTTTCCATCTCCAATGTTAACAACAGAATCAGTGTCTCCAAAAGCAATTCTTATCCATTAGTGCCATAAGTAGTCAGGTTTTTTTATATTCATTGTGACCCACCATTAGGAACAGGATTTAGATGTCCTTTTTTGCTTTAAAAGGATCTACACGATGTTATGTTTGCATTATACAATACCCGGGAAGACTGCTGACAGGTAACTAACTTCTAAACCTCAACTCAATTCCTAACATTTTAGTTGCATATCAAACTTTTAACATTGCTGTATATTAAGTTATGTATACATATATAGCCCGTGTCAACTGTTTACTTACACATTTGCAGATATTGCAATAAAATACAGTGACCACTAATGAAGTGGCACTACTGAAACCAAGTCATCTCCAGTGATTTAGGCCAACTCCTTTTAAAGAGAACAAGAGTTTTGCCTCCAATAATTTAGGCCAACTCCTTTTAAAGAGAACAAGAGTTTTGCCCGAGTAAGGGACACACTTTGCTGGGGTTATTTGACCCCAGTTGTCTTTCCTGTCCAAAGCAGGGGGGCTGGACCCGATGCTCTCACGAGGTCCCTTCCAGCCCTCAACTTCTGTAAATCTGTGTGAATGTCTCAGTGCCTTCAACTCACACAGAGCTGACAAAAAGCACACAATGTGGACCGCGTAACAAGGACCTTCCACACCATACCTATATATTTACGTCAAGTGGGATAATTCAAGGCATTCCCATTACAAAAAAAGACAGTATCAATGACCCCCACACTCACTGCAACACAAAAATAAGGTGCTCTGTGACGGCAATCCGCCTGCACGCAAAACACGTCGCGTTGTGTCCAAAGTTTCCAAGTCCAGAAGCGCGGCAGTCGCCGCCGTTACTACTACATTTACCATCGCTGCCGTGTACCTCGACCACGCGCAGGTCAGTTTGGACAGGCACAACCCTGCGGGGGCCAGACTGGACCCGACCTCTCCCAGCCTGACTCCTCCGGGAGAAGCGAGTCCTGGAGAAGCCGGGTTGGGAGGGACCATTTAAAAGGCATTTGAGTGTTTATCTGGCTGGGCATCCAGGTGGCAGCCGTGTTGGTCTGGAGGAAAAGGCAATCAAGGACTCGTAGCAGAGAGGATATCTTTTATTGAACCAACAAGACTTTTGCTAAATAAATAAGTAAATAAAAAGTGTGATCCCCGGGGCTGGACTCGATCTCATGAGGTCCCGTCCAGCCCCCAATGTCTATGAACAACCTCCTTTCTCAACCTGTGGGTCAAGCCCCAAAAAGGGGGGTGCGAGGGTATCGGGAAGGGTGGCAAACCGACTTGGAAACGCGGGCTTTTCCCTCGCGGCGGCCCCACACCCCGGGGGCAGGAGCGAGGGGGGCTGGGTCTTGCCCTAAAAGGCTGGATCCAGCCCAACCCCCACCCGAGGCAGCAGCATCCCCATCCCCGTGCCAAGCGGCCCGCGCAGCCCGGGGCCGGCCCCCGCGGGGGAAGCAGGGCCCGGCGCCCCCCTGCAGCAACCCCAGGGCCGGGGCCCGACGCGGACGCCCACCTCTTGAAGTCTCTCATGAGGCGCCGCCTGGCCGGGGTGGACATGTTCCT